CCCCCGTTCCTGCGCCCTCGTTCCCCCGCCCTGCCAGCGCCCCTCAATCCTGACCCGCAGCCCCTGCTGCTATTCCAGTCTTGGGCCACCCTCCCCCCAGCCCTGCCAGCGCCCCTCAATCCTGACCCGCAGCCCCTGCTGCTATTCCAGTCTTGGGCCACAGCCCTGCCAGCCCTGCCAACACCCCTCAATCCTGACCCACAGCCCCTGCAGCTATTCCAGTCTTGGGCCACAGCCCTGCCAACACCCCTCAATCCTGACCCACAGGGACCTATTCCAGTGTGGAGCCCCTCCCTGCAGTTCTGCTGATGTCCCTCAATCCCTACACACCGCCCACCCCCCGCCCCATTCCAGTCCTGGGATTCGTCAGCAGCAGCTGCCGGGCGTGCCAATTGCTGTGGTGTTTTTCCTGCTCCGATGAAACATCCATGCAGGGCTGGGTAAAGACCCAACAAAATCATTTCACTTTTGACCTAAACCAGAAATTAAGATGTAAGGGGCAGTGGGGCCTAGTGGTTGAGCACGGTGAGTCAGGACTCTGAGTTCTGTTCCCTGCTCTGACACTAACTCAGTATATTGGCGTGGCCAAGTCACTTCGCCACTCCGTGCCTCAGTTTACCCATGTGGAAAACAGGGACACTCTATCCCACAGAGGGACTGTGGGGCTGCGTTAATGCCTGAGCTCCTGGGATGGTGCATGCTCTATGCCAGGGGTCGGAAACCTTTGAGAAGTGGTGTGCCAAGACTTCATTAATTTAAGGTTTTGCGTGCCAGTAATACATTTTACATTTACAGGGGCCGGCGGACGGAACCCCAGACAAGCAGCGCGGGTGGCAGACAGAACCCCAGATTGGCAGCGGGCTGAGCCGTTCAGTCCGCTGCCGGTCTGGGGTTCTGGCCGCCGGCCCCTGCCAGGCGGGGTCCCGGTCGCCGGCCCCGCTCAGCCCGCTCCCGGCCTGGGGTTCCATTCATCCAGGCAGGCAGCGGCTGAATGGGCCGGCGGCCGGGACCCCGGCTGGTAGCAGAGTGCCACTGAAAATCAGCTCACGTGTTGCCTTTGGCACACGTGCCGCAGGTTGCCAACCCCTGCTATCTGCAAATATTGTCACGCATGGATTTGCTCCTCACAGCATCAGTCCTGGAGAGACAGGACAACACCATCTCATTTCCCCTTTGATTCTGCTGGTGGCGGAGGGTTCACATGGGAGATGAAAGGCCTGTACCTGGCCCAGCCTGGCATCTCTCAGACACACATTGCTCTGAGCCCAACTCTGCGGTCCTTGTGGGGCCTGTCAGATTCCAAACAGCCAGCAGGGGGAGCCACACTCCAGCTGTGAGGTGGCCTTGGGCCGGCTGGGGGTTTTCCATGGGCATGTGAGGCCCCCAGAAATGCTGGTGTATATTCTATGGAGAACTCAAAATAACCAGCCCAGCATAAAATCATCGGCTTCACTCACAGGTTTGTGGCCAGGCGAGCTGCCACCAGGAGCCTGCGGTCAGCCCTGGGTGCGTTCTCTCTGGGATCTCAAGTGGGAATTATTTCAAACTGCAGATGGAGCTCGAGAAAGCAGGGAGGGGGGATGCCTGTGTGTGCATACGCAGGTTCATGCACCTCTGTGTGTGTGTGTGCGTGCACAGGCGTGTTTGTATACGCACACATGTAAGTGCGTGTTCACGGGTGTATCTGTGAGCAGGTGTGCGTGGCCGTGCGTTAGCACACAGCCCAAGGCATTATCACCCCCCTCCAAATCATCCAATGGGCTTAAAGATCACAAGATTTCTTTTAATTCATACCGTGGGGCTGGGTTTCTTTGCCTCCTGGCTGTTGAGTCTCTGGGTGTCACCTTTTCACGCTTTCTGGGCAGCCGGGCAGGCTAGAAACGTGCTGTGTTTTTAAACGCAAGCTCAGAGTCTGATGAAATCACCTGACTCCGAGAACTGGGGCTTCAAGGAAAGCACCTGGTATCATGAGACTCAGGTTAAGATCATGAGAGCTGGCAATGTTGTTTCATGGGCTTTCTCCGCTGGGCACTCACAACCCCAGTGCACCAGGCTGCTTTGCCTATCAGATCCCAGCTACCCTGTCCTCCTGCCTGGACAGGACGGTTCCCTTTGCAGTGTATTCCCCAGGGCCATGGGCCAGCCCATCCCTTCGGAGGCTATTCCACAGCTTGTTAGATCTCACCCTCAGGACCCGTTTCCTGCTAGGGCCCAGCGCTGCGCTCTGAACCCGCTCCCCACAGCATCCCAGAAGCAGCCGCATTTCAGCAGCCTGGTTAGCCGTCTCTGGAGCGGCTGGAGCTATGAAATGTCAACGCTTATTGCGTCCTGCACCCTGCAGGCTCAAGTAGCCAAGCACAGTTATTCAGCAACCTTTGAGTCCCAGACTTCAGTGCCGAAGAGCCAGACACCCCCCCCCGCCAGCTCTCTCCCATGGTGACTTGACGTTAGTTCTTTCTTGCTGCGTTCTCACACTCGTTCGGGTTGGAACCCTCCAGCTGTCCTTGGTGGAGGGCAGACAAAAGACGCCGTTGATAGTACAAAGTCTCTAGGCCTGTAAAGGCCACAGCATGTGCCTAAAACAATCCACCAGTGACGACCAGGCCCAGCCTTTGCGAATCAGACCCCGCTCGGCCGTGATTTCACAGCCTGTTCCCTTGTTTATTCGAGCTGCCCTTTGGCAGGCGCTTTGGGTCTAGGGGTGGGAGGTGAGTGTGCTGGCGGGGACGGAGCAAGTCCTGCCGCCATTGTTAATTGTGACGACGACGGGGGATTTCCAGCTCCTTTCCTGGAGACAAAACCGCCTGTTTTGGGAAACAGCTCCAGATAAGGGAGCAGGGCCAGAGCGCTGGCTTCTGCCGAGCTCTGCCTATTCCAGCGCTTCCCTTTCGGCCCCCCCGCCCCTTTCGCTGGGATGGGAAAGTTCATCGGCCGAGCGGGTCGGGCTGGGAGCCTGTTGGAACGGTGCTTTGCAAACAGGGAACCATCAGTGACACGAGTCAGGGGGGCTCAGCCCCTGGCTCCGGTGATAGCTGGGCGGGGCTTGCCCAGTTCCTTGCCAGCCCGCTGCTGTGACTCAGTGGGTGACAACGCCCTGGTGCCCTGAGATGAGGCTGGCACAGAATCACTGGGGTGCAAGGCCCCACCTGAGTCAGGGGCTTCTGCAGAGTGGGAGGGGGAGATGCTGGAGGGAGGGAGGGGGAGGCACATACTCCATCGATGCATCAGGCTTTAAGGCCTTTGCCCACTTTGCGTGGAGGGCATTAAAGCTCCCCAGGGAGCGTCTGTAAACGCGTGCCTGGGTAAGGCCCCAGTGCTGTGTGGAAAGGTGCTTCCCTGGGTACCTGAGAGCAGAGACCACATGGGCTCCATGGGACCGGCTGGGGGCAGATGTGGCCAGCAAGGTCCCTGCCCCTCTGGGATCATAGCAGATGCTAAGGCAGGAGCTGGTGCGTGCCCTGGCCGGATGCCGGCTCATTACTGACATTCTGGCGTCCAATGGATGCAGAATTCCTCCTTTCCCTGCGGAGGAGCAGTTAAACAGCCCAGAGGCGAAGAGCTGGGGGGATTCCTTGAAGGGGCCCTGGACCTGCCAGGCATGGTACTGGATCGGGCACTCGGCCAAACTGGGGGAGAAAAGGTTAAATTAAAAACACGGCGACATATTTTATTTGGCAAAAATAAATTACCCCAATAACACAACACAGAGAAGGGATGGGGGGCACCAGAGGAGCCCCACATTGGCTTGACTCTCCCTGGGCGAGAGGCCGGGCAGTGCCCCTAGGTGAAGCAGGCCGGGGGACTGCAGAGGGGTCTTAGAGGGAGCGCCACCGAGGGGCAAGTCTGGACTATGTGTTGGGTTAGCAGCGCATTCAGGTGGCATTAGGAAGGGCCCACCTCCTGCTGTGCCCATCTCCGACCCCTTCCCCTTCTGCCCCCAGTCCCAGGAGCCCCCACCCCTGAGAGGCCCATCTCAACACAGGCCCTGCCCAGTCCTGCACAGCCCACCCCCACTGCACCTGCTGGCATGTTTTGGTGTGTCTGCACCCTCCTCCGACTGCCCTGGTCCTAGGAGCACCCTCACGGGGGGGACACCCCTCTCTAGCTGTCCCACCCGCCTTAGGTGCCCATCTCACAGTGTGCCCATCTCTGCCAGCTCTTGGGAGCCCACCCCTAGGCTGAAGGGAGTGTGCGGCTCCAAGCCGGCGCAGGGAGTGGGGCAGGCAGGGTGGAGATGGAACAAGGACCAAGCCCAGCTGGGAATCTTGCCTGGCATGGGCTGGTGGGCCCAGGCAAAGGGACAGGCTGGGCAGATGGAGTCCAGGGCGCCTCCCGTGGGCTTGAGGGTGGGATTCCGGGGACTCAAGTGTTATCACTGCTGGGCAGAGCTGGGGAGGAACATGGCCGGCGTCAGTGCAGGGTGGGGGTGGGGAGGCGCAGCCCAGCAGTGTCTGATCCCAGAGCCTCGACTCAGAGCAGCTCCCCAGGGAGAAAAGCAGCCCAGGGAGAGGGGGCGGGGAGTGGGGTTAATTACAGACAGACACAGACGCTTTGCCTCGGGCGCTCGGCGCTCCAGACGGGTTTGGGTGTGCGAGGGGTGGGACTTGGGTGGGTGCTGGCGTGCATGTGGGGGTTGAAGAGTGAGTTTGTGTGTGTGTGTGTCTGTTTGCATGTGTAGGTTTGCATGATGGGCTAGCGGGTGCCTGTGTTTGCACGGCGTGCTAGTGGAGGTGGATGTGATGTCTGGGTTCTCACGCCATTTGCACCCTGCATCGCCTGGATTTCGCTGTGCCAGGGCTGCAGGGAGGTGGCCAAGCAGGGTGGCCCCCCTCTAGTAAATGGGTTGCTGCAAGGCTCACGGCCTGGATTCGCACCTCTTGGGAGGTACCATTTTAAAGCCCTGCATCCCCTCAACCACCAGGTGTGGACTTGAACATTGTGCCCTGTTGGGAAGCCACAGTCCCATTTTACCCCTTGGGCAGCATGGCTGGGTCCCGCTCAATGGATCGGGAAGAGACTGGAGGCTGAAATCGCCCCGTTCCGATTACCCTCTGCCTTCCTCCGTCCCAGGCTGATCTCAGCAGCCGCTGTCCCATCAGCCCCCAGCTCTCGCCCCCATGGCTGGCACTCAAGGTAGGGGTGCGGCTGCACTCGGAGCAAGGAGGTGACTTTAGGCCAGGGGTACGTGACTGCATCAGGGCCCTGCCTTGGAGCCAACCAGCCCAGGGGTGAGTGGCAGGGGAAGGCAGCATTGGTCAGACTGGCTGAGCTGAGGGGAACCCCGCATTTTGTGGCTTCACCCCAAGTATGTACGGGGGGGGCTGGGTGGAAACGGGTCAGGGTGCCCCCAAACCGCTCCCTGCCAGCCCTGTTCGTGGCTGGGCTCTCCCATGCTGCTGCGGGAGGGGGCTCCCATCCGGTCACGCTGGCCTGCCCCGGGCGCAGTGCCCAGCGATGTCCCGCAGCAGCTGGTCCTCGCGGGGCGACCAGGGCCGGGCGTAGCTGCCGCGCTGCAGCAGGATGCGGTTGAGCGTGTGCTCGTAGTTGACGTGCCGCCGGGCCATGAGCAGGTACTCGCGGCGCTCCAGCAGCTGGGGGCAGTCGCAGGCGTTGGAGACCCACACGTACTCCCGGTGCACCAGGGGGAAGCGGTTGCGGTAGGTGTGTTTCACCTGCACGTCGTAGCGCGTCTCCTGCCCGATCGGCCGCTTGGCCAGGATCCGGGCCCGGAACACTGGGTGGGCGAGAGCAGAGTCAGGGGGGCGGGCGGGGAGAGAGGGCGGAATCGGAGCAACAGGCCAGGTGGAAAATCAGCTGCCCTGCGGGTGATGGGGAAAGGGACACGGAGCCCTTCCTCCTCTAGGGGACGCTAGCTCCAATCTACCCCACAGAGGGGATCTGGCTTCCCTGGGGTGTTGGGGAAAGGGACACGGGGCCCTTCCTCCTCTAGGGGGCGCCAGTTCCGAGCTGGCCCCATAGTGCGGGGGGACTGGCTGGCTCAGGGGGTGGGGAATGGGACATGAGGCCTTTCCCCTATAGGGAGCCGCCAGCTCCAATCTGCCCCAGCGCGGGCAACTGGCTGCCCTGGGGGTGTTGGGGAATGGGACACGGGGCCCTTCCTTCTCTAGGGGGCGCCAGTTCCGAGCTGGCCCCAGAGTGCGGGGGGACTGGCTGGCTCAGGGGGTGGGGAATGGGACATGAGGCCTTTCCCCTATAGGGAGCGCCAGCTCCAATCTGCCCCACCGCGGGCAACTGGTTGCCCTGGGGGTGTTGGGGAATGGGACACGGGGCCCTTCCTTCTCTAGGGGGCGCTAGCTCCAATCCACCCCACAGGGGGCGGGGGGATCTGGCTGCTCTGGGGGTGTTGGGGAATGGGACACGGGGTTCCCCTCTAGGGGGCACCGGCTCTGATCCAGCACAAGCAGGGAGCCAGGGTGGCCAAGTTTAAAAAAAAAAAAGACAATGTGTAGCCAAGCTCAGTGCCCACCATGCCCCGGCAATCCCTTCCCACGGTCTCCTGGCCTGTTCCAGTCACGCGTGGTCCCTGTGCCCCCCTGGCTCCCTCTTCCAGCCCCCCTCCCCCGCAGGGCCGGGCTGGGGGCTCTTACCAAAGTCACTCTGGCAGTAGTGGCGGATGCGCTGGGACTTTCCCTTGGGCGTCTGGCACCTGCCGCAGCTTCCTACGGGGCACAAAGCCGGGGCAGTCAGTGGGGGGTGGAGGATCGTTTGGGGGGGGGGGTGCAGACAACCCTGCTACCCTGCCCGACAGCTGCAAGCCCTGTCGGAAGCCCCCAAGAGATGCTATGTTGTGTCTAAGGGCTGGGCTGGGACGGAGGGGGCTGTGGTGGAGTATTAGCAGCCCTGCTGGCGGGGGGGGGGGGGAGCAGGGGGGCGGTCTGCTGTCCTGGGGACAGTGAGGCTGAAACCTCTTCCCAAAACGCGCACACACCACCCCTGACACCCTCTAGTTCCCAGTTGTGGGGCCGTCTGTAGCCGGGGGGGCGCAGACGGGAGCTGAGTGCCAGTGACTCCCCCATCTGCCCTCCCACGTGTTCAGGGTGTGGATGGTGGGAGAGGGTCTGGCTGTCCAGGCCGGGAGGGGTTTTGCAGCCGGGGAGCAGTGAGTGTCGAGAGCCCTCCCTGTCGGGGCTGGTCCCACATCCCAGCAGCCAAGGGAGCCCTATGGACAAACAGGCCTGGGGCAGGGGGATGATGTTTAGCTCCGGATCCAAACTTCCCCCAGGGCCCTAGGGGCTCAGATCTGGGGCTTTAGTTCTGCCCATTGGAGCGCTAGGGGCCAGGGCAGAACTGCAGTTCGGATCCTGGTCTGGAGCCCCTCTGGGGTGGAGCGCTTTTCTAGCCCTGGCCTTCCCCCTGCCACCCTCATGGTGCTATATCTGCCCCCCACAGCAGAGCTCGGATCCTGCTGACAGGGTGGCTTTCCATGGGCTCTGCAATATGCCCCCATGGGGTAGCATCCTGCCCCTCTCCTGCCCCCATCCCTCCAGCAGAGGCAATCAAGGTACTGTCTGTCTGTCCATCCGGGCCAATGGCCCGAGCTCTGGAGGGAAGCCCCAGATGGGGACAGAGCACGCACCTGTTTGAGCTGTGTCTATGGGTCCACGCCGGGACCTCTCTGTGGTCGTGTCCCTGACGCTGAGGTGAGTGGAGGGCACCAGCGTAGTCCAGGGCCCAGGCTGGGGCACGGTGGGTGGGTTGAGGTCGAGGTCTCTAGGCTGAGGCTGTCGCAGGGGGCTGGAGTCGCCCTGGAGGTGCCCGTGCCGCTCCCTGGGGAGCCAGAACTCATACTCGATGCCCGGGTTCGGCTCCTGGACCAGGACCTGCTTGGCAGGGGGAAGACAGAGAGCTGCCTTTGAGCCCACCCGCCAGGCAGCATGAGCCCCCCGCGTCCCTGCTCCCACCTGTCGGGGGCATACAACAGTCACCCAGAGAGACCCTACAATAACAAACCAGGGTGTGCCGCCCAGCTCTCGGGGGAGACCCTACAGTAACAAACCGGTGTGCACACATGCTGGGGGAAGTGTGTGTGTGTGTGTGTGGGGGGGGTGTTCTCCCATGCACCGGGGCCCCAGGGGTGTTATGCTGTGGGGGCACCAGGGAGATCAGCCTGTGAAGGGGAAGGAGAGATGGGGCAGCCCCTTAATCTGTAAGCCCTGGTCGCTCTCTCCCCCAGCCCCCCTCACCATGATGTGCAGATCCTCCTCTGTCGGCCCGGCTGCCTCGAGGGTCTCGTGATTGTCCGGGTCCCGGGCATAGCGCACCGTGGTGCCTGCCACCTCGTACGCGCCCGGCCAGTCGATGGCCCAGTCCCCGTTGATCACGTACTGCTGCTCCCCGTTCATCAGTGCTGTGGAGAGACAGCGGAGCGGCCCGAGGGAGAGAGAGGGAGGGCTGGGGGGAGCGGGAGTCCTGGGGGGCACAGCGTGCAGGTCTGCTGGGCTCGGGGGGGGGGGAGAAACCATGGGGTGAAGCTGCAGATGGAGCAATGGCACTTGGACTGTCACTGTGCCATCGGGGGGGGGGGGAGGGTGCACAAAGGGCCCCAACCTAGCATAGCTGGGCTAGGCAGTAAGATTTAGTGGTTAGAGCAGGGGGAGGGAAGTGGGGTCCAGTGGTTAGAGTGGGATGGGGTTCCGGCAGTCAGGACTCCTGGGTTCTGGCTTAAAGGCACCTTCCCCGCCCCAAACACAATCAGGGACAATCTCGCTCTCGCGGGCTGCTGGGACAGAGAATCACTCCAAGTGGAATCATCCTGTGGTGGGGGGCAGAGCCATATGAGGCAGGGCGGGGCTACCAGGGGCCATGGGGTGGGGATGGCTCCTCCTACCTAGGTAGTTGCGGCTCCGGTCGGTGACCTTGATGTGCATCGCCCCTGCCGGGATCCTCGTCACGTTCTTGTACCCAAAGAAACCTATGGTGGGGGGCGGGGGGGAGACAGGAGTCAGGGCAGAGCCTGGGCATGTGGGAGGCTGGTTTCTCCCGGTGCTGCAGCGATGCTGGGGCTGAACCCAACGGCGCTGCCCTGGGGGCAGCGAGAGGCGAGCTCGTCCTGCACGGCTCCCCTGACTCGTGTCCAGGGCGGGGAAGGAAGCGAAGGCTGCAGCATGGTTTGGAGCTGGCGGGATGTCGGTTTCACACGCACACGCAGGATGGGGGGGCACCGGATGGCTGGGGGGAGCTCAAGCGGGGCAATGGGCCTTGGGATCCCTTCTCCCAGGGGTCACCGCGTCCAGTCCAGCTCCCAAGTCACCATCACGGCCACCCCGGGTGGAAGCCCTCGACAGCAGCCTCTGTAGAGGCCCAGGACTGAAAGGGGCTCGGACGGCTCGAAGCCCCCCTGGAGGGCAGGGCTCAGACACGCTTTGGGGGTGTAGAAGGACGCTTGCCCTGGCACCGCCCTGTGGGCAAAGACCAGCAGCCTTCTGGGGCCTTCGCACCGATGCTCAGCCCTTTTCCCCACAGGAGCCAGGCCTCTTCTCCTGGCGTCACTAGGGCGTGGCTGCCTGAGCCGTGCCAGCCTGTGCCTGGGCACCCTCCTCCCCTCCCCTGCCTGGATTATTTGCTAAGACACTAGCAAGGCTGTTACGGCGCAGGGAGGGGTGCGATGGGCACTGGAGCCTGGCACCACAGCAAACGGGGTTTAGCTGGTACCCCCGCCCAGGCCAGCTCATCCGCTCGATCAACTGCAAGGCTTGTGAATTGCCGTCGAGCAATGGGGTCGCTCGGTTCCTCCCGGCCAGAGGGTTTGTCCCGCTTGGTGTCAGGAAGAGGATACGGTGCCCGGAGGGGGGAGGGGCTGGTCTGGCGCAGTGTGGGGGGGGAGTGGGGAGGAGCATGCAGCGGGGGAGACAGAGAGAGCGCGTTGAAGCCAAGAGCCAAAGCATTCACCCCTGGAGAATCAATCACCGGAGGAGGGGAGCGCGGCCCGGAACACCCTCTTTACGAAGAGGCACGAGTCATTCCTGCCATCGCACCGGCCGCAGGCGTCACTCCGAGAGCCGGACCCCAGGAGCCCGTCGCAGCCCGCTGTCTGGGGGGAGGGGAAAACGGGCATCAAGGAGGGCGAGGCGGCTGCACCGAATATCCCTGCCCGGCACGGGACGACCCCCAGAACGAGCGGGGGCTGGGTCAGCCCTGAGTGCTGGCAGCTGCCCGCATTGCCAAGGCTGGAACTCACCCACCTACGCCCCCTGCCTGAGCCGTATCCAGCATCCCTCGTTGCCATTGGGTACTAAGCACAGGGCGAACCCCCCCCTCCGCCTGGGTACGCCAGGCACGGGCAGACAACGCCGGTCCCAGTCCGGGGTCTCCCACGAGCCCATGCCCTGCACCAGCAGCGAGCCCTACCAAGCACTGCCCACTGATGCAGAGATCCGGGGAGTCCGGGCTGCAGCGGGTCCCGTCCAGCACTCGGCCGAAGGTGTAGTAGAAATTGTGTCCCACAGCCAGGCAGTTCAGGTCACAGAGGTTGGGCGCTGGAGGAGGGCGGGGGATGGGAAGGGAGGGGGGAGAGTGAGAGAGAGGGAAGGAGAAAGCGAGAGGAGGGATGGGGTGAGGATCGGCCCTGCTGTCGGGTTACATAGCGCAGCAGACTTTTGTCCCCCCCCCGCCCCCGGCATGGAACAGCTGTTCTCTGCAGCCCCAAGAGCCACCCAAGGTGTACACTGGGGCTGAGGGGAGCAGGA